AAGAAGAAAAAATAGGAACAGTCTATTTAAATAGAAAAATAGTTAAGCAAACCTATTATTAGGCCTGTCTCTACATTCCAACCAAGTCTACCTAACAAACTTCTCTATTTTTTTTTTTAATTTTTAATGCTTTTTATTTATTTCTAGGAGAGAGAGAGACAGCATGAGCAGGGGAGGGTCAGAGAGAGAGGGAGTCACAGACTGAAACAGGCTCCAGGCTCTGAGCTGGCAGTCAGCAAAGAGCCCGACGCGGGGCTCGAACCCATGAACCGCGAGATCATGACCTGAGCGAAAGTCGGACGCTTAACCGACTAAGCCACCCTGGTGCCCCCAAACTTCTCTATTTTTAAGCCACGCTTTCTTGCTGTTGCTTCTAGACAGACTCTGATTTGGTATCTTAATTATATACCACACATACTGCAATTACTGTACTGCGATCAAGTACTTTAATAATTCGTTTCATGGTCCAAACTATGAGATCCTTGAGCGTGGAAACTAAGTATGTTTACATGAGAATCCTTCACACATAGCAGTTAGTAAATAAAGTCAGCAGAAATGAAACGTTATGTAGGAGTCATACCTGGATGGGAGTGTATTCCCACAGAGAACAAATACAAATTTTCTGAAGACCTATGCAATAAGCAGCAACTGAAAATATCAGAAGGTATAAGGATCCCACTACTAGCCCACTGGATAGTAGATTTCCTATTAGAGGTAGAGGTAGCTGTATTACCCTGACGATACAGCATTAAGGAGAAGGGCTATTTTCATGGAGGGAGTGTTAATAGTATGCTAGACCATGGTGACATTAACATCATGTGTATATAAGAATATAGGCTCCAAGTGATATGGTTCCACGTCTGAGTCTCAGCTCTGCTCTACTTCCACATCTATAAAATGAAGGTGACAATTTAAAAATCTCCCTTATAAACTTGTGAGGATTAAGTGAGATGATGCATGTAAAAGTTTGGTATAGTGCCTGGCATGCAGTAAATATCCCAGTAAATATCCCATAAAAGTTAAATTTTTATTATTACTATAATTATTACCTCTCAAACCTCTGGCCTCTACTAACATCAGCTGATTCAGATGGGAAGGGAAAAAAATAACCCTAAGAACACGGGCAGCATCTAGAGGACTATGAAGTTATGGAATAAAAACTTCACATCCTGGCGGTATAAGTTATATATGCACCACCTTTTATTACTAGTGATTGAGACTCCGAAGAAGAAAATTAAATATAAAAAATCCAGACCCACTGGAGGAACTAAACCAAGTTACCACTTTGTTAAAGATACTATACTTTGTGTCAGAGCAACACAGGAGCAGTAATGGTAATAATAATAATAATATAGTAACGATAGTAGCAGCAGTACCTAATATTTATATAGTACTTACTATCTGCCAGGTACTATTTCAAATACATTACATGTATTAACTATTTTACCTATTAAGTCTATTAGAAATAGGCACTTAGGCTTAAGAGTTCGATAGCACCAAATCTTGGCCCAGCCATTAATGGGCAAGTTACTTCACTTCTCTACTGTTCGTTTCCTCATATCTAACTGGGAGTGGGAACACCTAACCCACAGGGATAATTTGAGGATGGTCTGAGATCATAAACACAAAGTACCTCTCTTATGTGCCAGGTAACCAGCAGATGCCCTAGTAGCTATGCTCTCATTACTGCTGTTAATATTATTACATCTGAGGACCAAAAACATCATTCTGTAGGCATGCAGAGAAGAGTTTCAAAAGGGGAACTTTTTTCTTCCTTCCCAGATTCCTCTTTGAATTTTTTAAAATTGTAAGCATTCGGGGTACCTGGGTGGTTCAGTCGGTTAAGTGCCTGACTTCGGCTCAGGTCATGATCTCCGGGTTCGTGGGTTTGAGCCCCTCATCGGGCTCTGTACTGACAGCTCAGAACCTGGAGCCTGCTTCACAGTCTGTGTCTCCCTCTCCCTCTCTGCCTCTCCCGCACTCGTGCTCTGTCTCCCTCTCTCAAAAGTAAATAAACATTTTTTAAAAATCATAAGCATTCTATGATATTATTAAGTTTTCCTCAGAATGAATGACACACGAATACAAATTGAAATATACAGATAAAAAGACCTTTAGATTAGCTTTAAAAGTTTTTTTTTCCCTCTAGGAATAGTGCTGGTGAAAATACTATAGTTCCTTCAAGTAAATAGTGCTGAAAAGAATGAAAATGGCATATGGGTGGGGGAATCTTTCAACGAAACTACTCTACACATCCATCCCCTGTTCTTTTCTCTGCCTTTTAAGGTCACGGTAACAGGATAGAAAATCTGGGACTCACACCATCTGTCCAGACAGTTCTATCACTGCTCATTTCTCTTGTTAAATAATCAGAACATTTCACACTTTCCAAACACTGCTACCATAAAGAGCAGCTAGAGCAGAATGAAAGAAGCTCTTTCTATGCAGAAATGTAGTGGTTAGAAATGAAGAGCTCTTTTGAAGTTTGTTGGTTTCAGACCATGTCAGTGAGAAGAAAGAAATTCACACCTCAGAAGAAAATTTAAGAATAACAGAATTATACTACAGGCTCTAGAAATTACCTTTCTTTGAAAAAAGGTGACATTCTCAGATGTTTTCACTAAGAATAGATTTGGCAGTTTAATACTGAGTTAATTATATAGGTTTCTAATCTGTAAATTTCTCATAAGACTAAGAAGAGAAATAGTTTTCTTTACCACCACCACCACTACTACAAGTAGTGTAGTAATATTACTTGTAGTAGTAATAATAATAGCAGCTAATAATTACTTGGCACCGGGACATCCTTAATTCTCTTCCAACCCCTTTTTTGTGTATTAATTCACTTAATCCTTTAAGCCATTATATGTAGCAATTTCTATTACTATTCCCATTTTACACTTAAGGAAACTTAGTCATGGAGAGGTTAACTAACTTGCCCAAGGTCACAAAGCTAGTAAAGTATAAAGCCGGGATTCAAAAGCAACCAGACTGACTCCATCCTTCAATTTCTATACTATACTATCTTGCAGTTTTTAAAGGAGCCTCTAACTTATACATTAAATTCAGCTTCTTCATCATATTTTGAATAAAGAAACTATAGCTGAATGTCATAAACATACCCCCATTCACCTCAGTGAATGTCAATTACATATTAACTTATTAATTTCTGTCTTATAATCAGAGCTTTTACCCTAAATGAATGTGTTGTTATCATAAGGCAAAATAATTTTTTATATTAAATGAAAGTTTCAAAAATATGTTCCAGGGTCAATGTCAATTTGGGGATACCCCATGATGCTGAGAAAAAGGTTTGGATTACTCTCAAACCTCCAGTCTTATGTGAAGACCTCTGGGCTTCAAATAAAGATTCAGCATTCCTAAGAGGGTGTGTCAACATACCCAGGAGAAGCCAGTCTGAATACGGCATTTCTCTTCCATGTTACAGAACATTCCCCACTCTGCCCAGTGGCTCAAATTTATTCAATGTTAGAAGCTCCAATCTGAGCTGGTTAGTGAGGCAAATTTATACTTCTAGTCACATAACTACCATAGTTATGACAGCAATGATAATAATCACATCAGTAATCATTATATTACTAATAAACAGTAACAGTGATAACCATCATTTCCTGATAACTCAGTAAGTGCTAAGCATTATGTCAAGCGCCTCATATGTCAGGTGTATTAGGGAGACAGTGGGAGTAGGGGTTAAAGAGATGGGCTGTGTGGTCTTGAACAAAGAACTTACATTTTCAGCACCTCACAGAATACCTACCTCCTAAAATTGTTTTGACGATTAGATGTGTTAACACATGTACAATGTTCATAAGAATAAAACACACAAACTGAGGGTGGATGGGGTGTAGGGGAAAGGAGAAAATGGGTGATGGGCATTGAGGAAGGCACCTGTTGGGATGGGCACTGGGTGTTATATGTAAGACAATATATTATATTTTTAAAACAAAACAAACAAACAAAAAGAATGAAATGCACAATAATACTACCCAACCTTAAGAGACTGGGAGATTAATGTTTAGAAAAGCTAACAGCTGCACGTGGGTTAGGGTGCAGCTAAGGTCTCCCAGGTTGGCCTGACTCCAAAGCCCAAGCTCTTCGGGTGCTCATTCCCCTTCATTGGCTTCTCTCTCTCTCTCTCTCTCTGTCTCTCTGTCTCTCTCTTCCTCAGAATTGAGAATAGGTCAATTGCATCACAAAGGAAAGCATAGTTACTCCACTGTCATTTTTGTCTTTTCTCATCAGAGTTTTACTATGGCAGCATTAAAAAAAAATGTTAAAAATGCCAATCTAACATACTGTACTCCATCAATTCCGAGACATTTCCCCCACCCAAATTTTTCCATCTGTGAATCATGTGTCTTAGAATTATAATTGGCAGTATTTTTCCTTTCTTAGTAGCACATAAAATAATGGTGCATCTTACAATCTATATCATCTTACATTTGACAAAATATGGCAGCTGTTAAGCTCAATGAGTATCCTTAAAGGATTAGCCCTGTCTATATGGAAGGCACATTCCAGAGCTTGCCCAGCACGGTGGCCTCAGCGCAGTTCAGTCCCAATTCTCTCACTTTAAACTTCACCTTGACGATCTCCTTCTCACTGACTCTTAACCCATTTCCATCAAACTAACAAGCTCCTATAACTCTAAAAACCAATCAGCGTTTCAGCTAAGGCTCTGGGCTTAGTTTCTGTGCTCCTTGTTTTGGTTTTCCCTTTCTGATGACTCAAGGGCTTCTAATCATAGTGACTATTTGGACTGAGGTCCCATCCCAGGGGCACTTCCTCCTCTTACACTGTCCTTATAAGTAGTCCATACTTTTCCAAACATAATTGGACTTTATGGGTAAACTGAGAAAGTATTAGCTAATAGTGAAGCCTTGACAGTCTTTTGTTTCTCATTTTCAGTTACTTCCTTATTTCTACCTTTTGAAGTTATCTCTAAGAGCCCCTTTTATAAGTACTTATCTGATTCATACTTAAATTTTTTTCCCGTTTTGGCCTGAGTGCCTCCATTCCACATATGGTCAGTCTCCTCATAGAAGAAAAAAATGTCGAGTTTTACATCATCTTTTCCCTGGAAAGATAGTTCCAAGCTGTCCTCTACCTAAGGGGAAGATGAAAACCCTCATAGACTGTAATGAAGGAAACACATTTTCTTAAAAGAAAAAAAAAAAGATTGTGTTTTATAGAGGGAGAATATCGATTCTAAGAGAACATGTTTTTTCAAGCTGAAACACCTCTGAAATTAGGATTTATCTGTAACATACCATCATTTGATTTCTTTCTTAAATGCAGATAAAATAATGTTGCTTCTTACAATTAAAGACAACTCAAAGTAAATGACTTACAGTAGCCAATTACCACTCTGCAGAACATCCTGCTCCTGAGCCCTTTTTGGACTAAAGAAGGAAAGGAACTAAAGAAAAATGATTCCCTTTAATAAGCAAGTAAAACTATTAGGAAATAAGTCTCTCATTAGAATCAATAATAAGTACTTAAGTAAATGTGGTATCATAGAAACCCATATACATACCATAAATCATTACATTATGTACATGAAAAAAAGAAGAAATAAAAGTTAAAGACACAAAGAATTCTGAGAGCATTTCCCTAAAGAAACTTAACTACAAATAATTATGTTCCCATTAGACTTGGTGCATCTATCTGTTATGGCACTAATCACATAATTATTATGTGTTTTTTCCCCCAATTAGACAGTGAACTCCTAAAGAGAAGTGCTATCACATATGCATCTTTGCGTCCCAGGTGCAGAGCACAGTGCCAGCCATAAAGTGAGTGTTGAGTAAACATTCGCTGTATGCCTGGAGTTCATTCTACTGCTTTGACTTTGACCTCCGGAAAATATTTTATCAAAAAAAATTCTAATAAACTAGAATAATTATAATGGAGAAAGTAATTTTTCTGTGACTAATCATACTTCTACTTGCTTTCCAGGATAACGCCTCCATGGGAAACAGGCAAATTAAGAGTAAGATGCTTGGACAAAAAAACAAGTAAGAGGTTTGCAGGGAATCATGGGCGTAGGGCATAGAAATCATATTGTCTAAAAGGAGATTTCATTTAAGTGATGATGACCTATTCCTAGTTGAACTCTGAGAAAATTGCTATGACCCAGAACCTGTGAAATAAACAAGAAATTCAAGTACTATTTGAAATGATTCTGTATTTCTAACCCTTAGCCACCAAAGGACCACTTCATGTTGCTAATAATAACAATAATAATAATAATAATGCCTAAGAGAACTCATGAAATTAAAGGACTCATGAGAAACAACATAACTTCAGGTAGGGTACGTAGGATTCTTAACGATTGTGTTAATTTTATATTATCTGGTGTATTAATTATATGTTATATTGTTATCTAATATAATGGCGATAAATTCATCTGTAAGAGTTCAAGACCCTTTTCTCCTTCTCATTTAGTCAGTAAAAAGCCAGATTTTCTAGTTTTCCTTAAATAGTGCAGAAAGTCACATAACAAGCTTATGCTGAACTCATCCTGGTGAATACTGAGTGATCAAATGATATATGCAACATTCTTAACCATCTCTGAGCTGTTTAATATAAACTTTACTTTTGAAAAGACATGTTACTTATAAAATAAAGAAGATTTTTATTACTGACCTTCCCAAATTTGTGTTTGAGTGGAAGTCCTACATCCTGAAATGCTGAAATAATATCAGATTTATAATCTTGTATAAAAATACCTAGGTCAACATCTTTACTATAAGGAATAATGTTGCATTGCCGATACCATCCTAAAAATAAAAAAGAAAAGACACAAGAACATTTTTTAAAAAGTCAGGAAAAAATGAGTCATTACTGTACAATCTTTTTAAGAATGGATTTTTTTTGGGGCACCTGGGTGGCTCAGTCGGTTAAGCGTCTGACTTCAGCTCAGGTCATGATCTCACGGTTCATGGGTTTGAGCCCTGCATTGGGTTCTGTGCAGACAGCTCAGAGCCTGGAGACTGTTTCAGACTCTGTGTCTCCTCTCTCGGACCCTCCCCTGCTCATGCTGTCTCTCTTTCTCTCCCAGAAATAAATAGAACATTAAAAAATTTTTTTTAAAAGAATAGATTTTTTTCATAAGATTAGACTTAGAGTGCTTTATCAATATTATTTGAAAGAATTAAATCTCAAATTAAAATCTGTGTTATAGAAGCCACCTGTTGAAGAGCCTTTCATTCTTTCTTTCTTTCCTTATTCATTTTTACTGGTCTGAGCACTCAGCACCCTCAGAAACTTTCATTATGTATTTTAATTTCTAAATAAGCTATTAGCTTTAATAATGTTACCTGGGCCATCTATTTAAAAAAATTGAGTTACTTTTGAGAATGTTTGATCATAACCCCCTAATGATGAAGGCTGGCTTTGTAGAACTTAACAGCTCTGAACAGCTCATGTTTAATGGGTCATATAAAAAAGAGCAGTATCGGGGTGTCTGGGTGGCTCAGTCGGTTGAGCACCCAACTCTTGGTTTCGACTCAAGTAATGATCTCACAGTTTCATGGGTTTGAGCCCCACATCAGGCTTTGTACTGATGGTGCAGAGCCTGCTTGGGATTCTCTCTCTCAACCTCTCTCTCTCTCTCTCTCTCTCTGCCTCTCCCCCACTCACACTTTCTCTGTCTCTCAAAATAAATGAACCAAAAAAAAAAAGAGCAGCATCATTGCAGCAGCATCCTCAATTTTCAGCACACTGACAATATCAAAAGATATTTCTAGGTATATTTACTATGTATCTACTTCTCAATTAGGTGTTATAGCACTATTCTAAAAAAACCAAAATCTTAATACTAGTAAGGGCTCTTGGATCTCACCTAGTATCCTTCTAATTCTTTCATCCAAATTATTCAGAAAGTAAATAAATGTCTACAACTGTCTTTACAGGTACTGCTATTGGGCAAGACTATTTGGAATTCTAAATTTTAATTTCATTGTACCACAGATCTAAACATCTAGGATGGGGTCTGTCTTTAGCTTGAGAAAAATCTATATACTCCATATCTATCAAAGAATCATAAACTATGAAAAATGGAAGACTCCTTAAATGCCATCTAATTCAACTCCCTCATTTTGCTCTTAAGTGAAGAAAACCATGGGCTAAAAATGCAAAACAAACCATGACAAGTGAGTAAGAGGTATTTCTGATGACATCATCTATAAGACAATCTTGCTTCAAAAAGTTAAACCTTAAAGCATATATCACATAAATGTGTGAGATGTACTCTCTTTTTCTTGGCTACTCTTAGCTGCAAACTCCTTGACAGGAATAACCATGAGAATTTCCACAGAGCCTAACCATATATCCCAGTTTCCGCCTGTCATATCAACATCATTACTAATGGCACTCCTTTTCACTCTCAAGAGTCTCTTGAATTGGACAATAAATTATATAGTAACACTATAAAAACAGGAGAATTAATTTTTGTACAAATAAAGTTATAATCAAAGAATACAGTTACAACCAACTATAGTTATAAACAAGAGGGAATAAAAACAATTAAAATTTAAAGTTCTGGGGCGCCTGGGTGGCTTAGTCGGTTAAGCTTCCGACTTTCGCTTAGGTCATGATCTCGCGGTTCGTGGGTTCGAGCCCCGCGTCGGGCTCTGTGCTGACTGCCAGCTCAGAGCCTGGAGCCTGTTTCAGTCTGTGCATCCCTCTCTCTCTGGCCCTCCCCTGCTCACGCTGTCTCCTCTCTCCTCTAGAAATAAATAAAACATTAAAAAAAAAAAAAAAGAAGTAAGTTAGACCTTCTTAGTCTATCTTCCATATTTAAAAAAATAAATAAATAAAATAAAATAAAATTTAAAGTTCTAAATACTGCTAAGTTTCAAAGGAGTTTGATACAATGTATAGTGGAAAGAGATCCATAAATCTTACTCAGGTTCTAATAGCAACTTTACTAAAGACTCTAGAAAAGTCCATGTTTCTCATCTCAGAATGAACAGAATGTGGAAAGGCAGTGATGTCCAACCAGTGATACTATCAGTGACTTGGAAAAGATTTGTGGAAGACCGTATGCTATGTCCTTTAGCCCTCCTATCATTTGTGTGGTGTGTTAAGTATAAGAAACAGAATAGGGGCTCCTGGGTGGCACAGTCAGTAAAGCATCTGACTTAGGTTCAGGTTATGATCTCATGATTTGTGTGTTCGAGCCCCACGTGGGGCTCTGTGCTGACAGCTCAAAGCCTGGAGCCTACTTCAGATTCTATGTCTCCCTTTCTCTTTATCCCTCTCTGGCTCATGTTCTCTCTCTCTCAAAAATAAACATTAAAAAAATTTTTAAAAAAAGAAACAGAATAGAGGTTTTTTTTTAAAGACAGAACAATCTTTTGGGTAGAAATAATAAAATGCTAATCGAAGGATTACCCTGAGATCAAATATAGTCTAATGTTCTGATATAAATTTTATCCATGACTTCCAGTTTTTGGTAAACACAACATGGCCTTCCTAACTCTCTTTTATGCTTCTGAAATTAATGTCTTTAAAGAAATCAATAAATTCCTGTTCCATGCACTACGTTTATTCTGTCTATAAATATGACACTTCTAATATCACTGATGTTTTGTCATCTCAAGCAATCATCCCTAAAGGCAAAGAGGATGAAATGACAAAAAGACAAATGTAAAGCAACAAAGAATTTTACCTAGACAAGTTCCACTGCTCAGCCAGAACCGTACTCCCAATTTCTTTAATGTTCTGGCTGCTAGTTGCAACAATTCCTTTGCACTCCTCCGAAAGGCCATGGCTTCCACAGTGTTATCATCAAGGTACTGCTACAGATAGAACAGTCAACTATTACAGCCATTTCTAAATTGCTAGAAATACTTCTGTGACATCTGAATTAAATTTAAAAATTAACCCCATATTATACATTTTTCTATTATAAAGAAATCCAGTTTCAGAGTTCCTTGTTAGTTGCACATTTATAAGACTACAGGTGTAGATTCTAGAAAAGACAAGGTAAAGAGGGAAGAAATGTAACCAGGATTCCCAAAGAATGAGACTTGCACCTTCATCCACTCTCTCCTCCACATCACAATCTAGCAGACTAGGCAGTTAGGAGAAAAGAAGACTAATTTTGAGAACTAATAGCGTATCTAAACAAAATGCATTCAGGGATGTTTTCGTGATTCACGGATTCAATTGGTCTTTCGAGACTGCAGAGTGTAGTAAAAAAGAGTCTGGGATTTTGAGTTAGATTATCTGTGTTCAAGACCAGCCCCTCTTCTTCCCAGCTGTGATGCTGGGCATATCACCTCAGAAGAACACAAACTCTATGAGGAAACTGACTTCATTTTATCACTTTATCTTCAGTACCTGATGAGTGAGGGAATGAGAGAGCAAACCTCTCTTACACATAGTTTCCTCATCAGTAACTTAAAGGATAATAATTACACTCTGCAGGACCACTGTGAAGATTTGATGAGACAATGGATGACAGAAAAATGTCTCATAAATTATGAAGTTCTATATAAATATCATCATGATCAACTACTTGGTTGTGCATTTCTAATTTTCTTCATTTTTAGAGTACTCTAGACTGAGGAAAACACTATAAATTCTTCAGTGATGCTTCACTACCTATGGGTCAAAATTGAAATTTCTTGGCTTAGCAGACAAAGACATTTGTGTTCTGGTCCCTGTCTAATGGTCCAGTCTCATCGCCACCCTCCTCACACTTCGTAATACAGCAGTAACTTCTAGCTCCCTAAATATGTCACAACTTTTCAAGCTTCTGTGCCTTTTACAGATGTTGTTTCTCTTGTCAGAAATGCTCCTGACCAACAAAATCTTTTAGGTCTCTGTTCTCCCCTTTGAGAAACATTCCCTAACTTTCCAAGGAAGATGTATGCATTTACTCTTCCAGTGCTGCCCTTTTGATCAACATTTGAGGAGCAAAAAATTTTATTTGTCCTAGATACAAAGACAAATGAAAGAATCTGTCCAATGAGTTTATAATAGTTGCCATATAATAAATATGATAATTCTTATGTTTAATTCACAGTGTTGATTTTATTTGTTTCCTCCGCTAGGCTGTAAAGATGGCTCCTGGAGGGCAAGTACTAAACCTCTCCATCACTGTATGTACAAATTTAGAACGGTGCCTGGCACATAATATGTGAACACCACATAGTGGTAAATGAGTAAATGAACTAGCCCCTGCCTATAATATCCTGTCATTCTTCCATAATATAACAGGAGAAAATATGGGTCCTGGAGGGATTCTTGGGATCTTTTTTTTTTTTAAGTTTATTTACTTATTTATTTATGGGGGGGAGGAGGTGGAGGAGTAGGGGAGAGAAAGAGAGAGAGAGAGAGGAAGAGAGAATCTTAAGCAGGTTCCATGTTCAGCAGGGAGCCTGATGCAGGGCTCACCATCATGAGATCATAACCTAAGCTGATATCAAGAGTTAGCTGCTAAACCAACTAAGCCACCCACCCACCCTGGGACTCCAGGGATCTTAAGAAAAAAGTATCCCTAGGTAGAAAGTGGGCTCGCAGAAGGGAAGTTGCCTTCTCCAGAGCATACAAATTATGCTTCAAGATGAGTATCTTCAGAGTCATAGCTTCTCTTTAGAACATATGACTGGAGGGGCACCTGGGTGGCTCAGTCGGTTGGGCATCCAACTTCGGCTCAGTTCCCGATCTCAAGCTGGTGAGTTCGAGCCCTGCGTTGGGCTCTGTGCTGACAGCTCAGAGCCTAGAACCTGCTTCTGTGTCTCCTCCTCTCTCTGCCCTTCCCCTACTCACATGTGCTGTCTCTCTCTCAAAAACAAATAAACATTAAAAAACTTAAGGAAAAAAAAAAGAACATATGACTAGAATGAGAGGCACATGTTCTTACCCTTGGTATAGTGGGAAAGACTGGAGACCCAGGATTTAGTCAATGCTCAGCCAGTAATGACTGTGTGGCACACTGAAACCTCAGTGTTTTTTATTTTTTAAAGGCAAATACTGGCCTTATTTCACAGAGTGACTATAAGGGTCAAATTAAATAACAGACATGAAAACTCTGTGCTTGATAAAAATGTTACTCTGATAATTACATCCTACTGAGGCTGCCACCTGCATGGATATACTCCCACTTCTGACATACCTTTCCTAACATGACATTCCCAGAAATTCAATTTCCTAGAATTGACTCTTATATGTATTAAAGTGTATATACTTATAAACCTTTTGCATTTGTTATGGATTTTAAAAATTAGAGTATGCATCATTTTTTCTGCTTAAAAATGTTTTATATCAATCTTGGGCTTACTATGCCTCTAAAAAAAGACAAAATCCCAATTTAAATATCATGTTCATTTCATCTTTGCCATTCAGGCAACCTTTCCACAAACCTACCCCCCTAATATAGACTGAAAGTAATCTGACAAAAGGAACCCACTCATTTCCTCATAGATAAGGAAATTAAGGCTCAGAAATTTGCCCAACGTCTCACAAAATTAATAGGAGGAGGAGGATAATATAGCTTTGTAGATATTTCTATGCCAGGTGTCCAGATACTTCCATATTTCCCTCTGGTTTTTCACTGGAATGCAAAAGACTAGACTGGAACCCATTAATTATTTTTTGATGGTTACTGCTGAAACAAATCAAGTTGAGGAAAATGTAAATTATCCCATTTCTAAACTTCCTGGTAGATTTGAGAAAATAATTAAAAGTAAATAAATCAAGAGAGCATTTCCCATTCTCCTCCCCTTCCCTTCTTGAACTATTCACTGTTAGAACCATCAGGTAAGGCAGAGCAAGAAAATGCACATGGGTGGCCCGTAGGAGCCTCAGAGCCTGAGCAAGTGATGAGGGAACCACATGGAGGGGCGTGTCCAGCACAGGGAGGCAGAGTGAGAAGTGTGTCCACAGGTGGGGTCAGCCCAGCAGGAGATTAGACGGCATCCACGTGGGAGATGGGACAGAAGCAATGACAGGAGACTAAACAAATAAATATATTAAGAGTAATAGGAGTTACGCTTCTGTTTGAGAAGGGAATCACAAATAAGAAAATAAGCCCTATGGGGTTTAACTGAAACATAAATTAGTTGGACTGTTGGTATCAATGTGAATTCACGCATCTTGATAGACAGATGGATATAGAAATAAATACACACGTACGCGCGCACACACACACACACACACACACACACTCACACTCACTCAGAGGGTCTGTGTGCAACAAAACCCAAGTAGCAATGAGCACACCTGGCATCTAAACCTTCACTTCTGAATCTTTTTTTTTAAAGTTTATTTTATTTTGAGAGAGAGAGAAAGAATGCAAGCAGGGCACGGGCAGAGAGAGGGAAAGAGAGAGAATTCCAAGCAGGCTCTGCGCTGTCAGTGCAGAGCCCTACGTGGGGCTCGATCTCATGAAACCTGAGATCATCGCCTGAGCTGAGATTAAGAGTTGGACACTTAACCAACTGAGCCACCCAGACACCCCCAAACCTTCACTTCTAAAAGGAACCAGGACTTAAAGAAATGGCTGATTCCAGGTTTGTGGCAGGAAAATTACAAGATGAACCTAAAGCACCTGTGGCAAAGAACAAGAAAGTGCTAAAAAACTGACAAACACAGGTCAAAAAGACAGAAACCATCAAAAACGGGTTCCCACTGGCCAAATATGAATCAATTTGAAGATAATGAAAATAATGAACTATAACCTATTGAATAAAATAGGAAACTGAGTTCATACTCATGTAAACAAATAAATTAAAAGATTGATGATGAGGGGCACCTGGCTGGGTAAGTCAATTGAGCATGTGACTCTTGATTTTGGCTCAGGTCACAATCCCAGTGTCATGGGACCAGGGCCCTGCCTCAGCCTCCATGCTGTATCTCTACCTCTTTCCCTCTTCCCCACTTGCACGCTCTCCCTCTAAAATAAAATTAAAAAAAAAAAAAAGGTTGAAAGAAAAAGATTTATGATGATATTGACAATATTTTTATAGTTTTAAAGTAGCTTCATGCCAAATTTCTATTAATTACAAAGGGAAAAACAGAAACTTCACAGGGTTGAGATGAGCAGACAGCACTTTAGTCAAGTGATCAATGTTACAAAGCAGTAATGAGACAAATCACAACCACACAGCACCTGATAGCATGTAATGTAACGTAGTGGTATTCCTACTACAGGTGTATAACCTGAATCTAACATGAGGAAAAACAAACAAACCTCTAGATGAGGGACAATTTACAAAACATCTGCCTGTAATCTTCAAAAGCATCAATCACAAAAATTTAAAAAGGACTATCAAGCCACTTCAGATCAAAGGAGACTAAAGAGATGAAAAAATTAAATACAATCTGTGATTCTGAATCCTTTTATTATATTTTATTCTGAACTGAATTGTTTTATTACAAAAACCATTATGAGGGCAATAAGCAAAACTTGAATGGGGATTGAATGGTGACCTAACATCCTGATTTTTGTATTAAGACAATGTAGGACAATGTTTTTTTGGGGGGGGGAAAATACTAAATTATTTGAGGTTGTGTATATGGTTGACAACTTACTCCCAAATGGTGCAGGAAAAAAATTATTTGTATTTTATTTACCACTTAACTGAAAGTGTATGTTTCAAAAAAAATTATTAAAAAATAGAAAATTAGAGGGTTGTTTTATGAGCTCTATGAGATTAGTTCACTGCTTGTTTTACACCGGGCATTGTATTTAAGACTGTTTGGCGCCATCAAGTGTCCAAAGTTATGTATGTTCACTTTAATTTGAAAATGGACCTTCTTGGTATTTTCAATCATGGTTCTAACATAAGAAGTAATGAAGAAAGAAACATTTAAGAGAATAAGAATAAAAAGAATTATCATCCTGATCAGGCACCCTACATCAAAATACCAATACAATAACAAAAGAGAAAAACAGATTAGAAATCACGAGTATATCTTGCTACAAGTGAAGGACACAAATAACATGATAAAGAATGAATACAAAGTTCCACCTCATCTTACTATAAACATAAACCTTCGACAGGATGGCAGTCTTGTTATGTGATGGTGCTTTAAACACCAAAACTACCAGGCTAACTATGATAAGGCCTCTAAGCATCTGACATTCATTTTCTTTACTCAAAGCCTGATTGAGTGCTTGCCCTGAAAATTTCAAAAGAACGAAAATATGCAATTAAAAAATTTGATACCATCCTAATGATGTACCAATATTCTGAAGCATTTCACATTTTTCACTGCCTTCTCACAAAGATGGACAAAATGAATTTGGGCAAATGCATGGTAGCGAATGGAGAAGTCCTAATAAGTGTCTTTAAAAAAGTCATTTGATTCAGATGAGCACCTTATTTACCATACATTTTTCCAAATTATAGGATCTTTTCTTTGTGCCAGATGCTGCTCTAGGTACTGGGGCTAGGGAAGTGAATAAGAAGCCTACCATCAATAAGTGCATTATCTAGTAGGGGGACAAGACATACATTTGCAATCTATTGTGGGAAATGCTCTGACAGAGGTGGCAACCAGAATAAACTCCCGTAAGGCCAGGAAAGTGAGTGGTCAAGCTCAGGCAGCAGACTGCATCTCCTCTGCTTCTTATTACTTCCTATGTGGTGGGGGTATGATGCTCAGCACTTGTTGACTAGTCCACACATACCATTTTCCAGCTTTTTATCCATGAGGCTGACTGGGTATGTGTCGTAGCTCACAATTACAGATTTAAGGGAATTGGGCTGGGAAGACCCACCTGTAAGGCTGTCAGGCCTTGGTCCTGGGAACCAGCACAGCCTACCAGAAAAACCTTGCATTTGTGGGTGCAGGGCACTCAGCCAGCGATGACACAGCTGGGACTTCACCTCCCCATTTGATTCCCATCCATGTGTCTAAACCTTTCTTGGAAGGGAACCCCAGAAAATAAAGGGCAAGTGGAAAGATCAGGGTACCAAAATCCCACTGTAAATCTGACTGTTTTCACTAGATTTCTGTTTCAAGTCATCTCTTAGAGCTGAACCTTCATGCCTCTCAAAATCATCTTTACATCCCCAGGGTCAGCAGAGTTCCTGAGAAAATGGTTTTCAATAAATGTTTATTGAATTGAAAGCGAGAGCAGCAGAATAAAGTAAAGTTCAAAAAGCACTGGTCTCTGCGTAGCATTTACCTTCAAAAACCTTCATAAACACAAAACATTCATATTCATTGCCAACCCTCTGAGAAAAACTGCATTTTCCATGAAACCTTTCCCAAATCTACATGGTCCATCTTCTATAGTGGCTTCATCCTATGTGGGGCGCTTCAAGAATGTGCCACCTTTGAGAGAGTTTATGGGGTATCCTAACTGCAATCAGAGGCCAGTGCTAACCCTACCAGAGTCTAGCCCAATAAGACAATGTCTCCACAAACAACACACCATTCAACTAGGAGAGAAATCATTTCCTAAGGCTGATGTTTACTCTCCTAAAAAAAAAAAAAAAAAAAAAAATTGAAATAAAACAATCTAGAAGAAAACCAATGAATCAAAAAAGATGTTCTCTTACCTATTTTCTATAGGCCCCTTCATCTCCTACCCCTCTCTGGAAATATTAAAAATAAACACACCTCTTTTAACTTAAAAAGTACAGTATTTGATTATTTCTAACCTGAAAGAATGCTCGAGCTTCCTTATACCTACACTCAATAAACCGAGAGTGTGGTATTTCTTCTAGAAAGTGCACTGGATCTTTCGGAATGAGAACTTCGAGTCCATCAACAGTAATTTGTTGTAACTCTGGCCTGAAAGCAAAAGTGAATATTTCTTATAAGGACTTAATGCATAAAGCTGGCAGCCTCTTCAAAACATATGGCATAAACAAAACAGCTAAACATCAGGCGTATTTTCCTCAGTTACCACTTTTTGAGATCTACTCCCTCAGTACCTGTCAAATACACAATGCAGCTATGTTAGCTATAGTCACTGCATGTCCATTACATCCCCAGAACTTACTTGTCTTATAACTGGAAGTTTGTACCTTTTGACAACTTTTAATATGTAAGCAAATATCCATGAACATACTTTCTCCTGTGTTTGCAGGAAATATACATATATATATATTTTTTTTAATGAATATAATCAAGAGCTATATTGTTTTACGTATTGCTTCTGTCACTCAACATTTGTGGAATTCATCTACGTTGTTACACAGAGCACTAATCCATTCATGTCCCTGCTCTACAATACTTCACGGTAGGAATATACAAAGTCTGGGGGGATTAAAAACAATGTTGTTATGGACGTTCTTATGTGTATTTCCTAATACTCGTGTGCATGAGTTTCTTGCTGTTGGGTATTTACATTTCAAAACTGATTTGTGTAAATTACATATTAGATTTAATTACTAAATGTAATACAAGAGTAAGAATTCATGACTAGACAATATAGGTTTCAGAACTCCCCTTTACATCCTGAATTTACCTGTCAAAAGCTCCAGGATAACGGCCAAACTGTAACTTTCGAAAAGGGACAAATTTCCGGTCCATGCGTCCTTTGAGTCGTAAATGGCCATGCCAGAGGTAGTTGCCACTCCTCTCATGAAAGACCACCAAGTGGATGGCATGATTAGCCAATCTGCAGATGTAGTGCAGGGGAATTTCGGTTCCAGAAAGTGAGTCTATTCCATCCAGCCGGGGATCTTTGCTCTCGATCTTTAGGCACTGAAAGCCCATATTTTCAGCTATCCGAAACCAGCCCTCCTAAAACCAAAGAAACATCAAGCTTAAATATTTATAACCAAATACTGGTAGCAAAACTAAAGAGATTTTTACACTTATACCGAGTCAAGCCATACTTATTTTTTGCTAATCTGCTCTTTGCCCAAAGATTTCAAACTAAGGGAGACAAGGGGGAAGGTGGTGGTGGTACAATAAAGGAGAATACCAAAAAACTACATAGCTCAGCACACATGTTCAAAGACACCCTTTATGAAAACAAATATCAATTTCTTTCTTGGAAAAAGAATGCTCATTTCAGTGTTCTCTGGTTAGGATCTATAAGGCAAATGTTAATATAAGGATAGCACTTAAGATAAAACTTGTAATTTTCAATTTAACTTCTATTAATCTCTATCTTCAAATGTGCTTCAAAAAGAGTACTTTCATCTCATATTTTGTATCCCAACACCTTAAACTGCTATTATAATAGAAGTCCATCATGATGCAAACCATTAGAAAATAAGACGGAGGCATACAAAGTACATTTTCCAACATCATTAGCTACAGTATAAATCTCATGTAATAAAATTAATCTCTATGGTAGATTTTTAGTCCTAAGATCAACAACCAGTGCTATGGATGATTAAGCAGTATAAATTATTGAGAACACCTGAGATTTTAATAGTAGACTTTGTAATTTCCAAGGAACCTGTATAAACATTATCGCATTTTCACATGATACCTATCATATAAAATAAGTAGCATAGGTATGATAGATTGAAAAACAGACTCATGGAAGTCTAAAAAAACAACAAAGTAACAGGCAGAGCCACTGCCAGCACTTAGGTCTTATGCAACCAAATCCAAGTTTCTTTCTCTTCTTAATACTACCTCTCTAGTCTCTATTTATGTAATGTGTATGAAGCTCATTCACATTCATTATCTCATCTAATGCCCCCAGAATCTACTTGAGGTCATCAAGGAAGATATTATTATACGCAGTCTACAGTTAAGGAAAACAAAGTTCTAGGTGGTAACATCAGATTTTATTAAATTAAAAAGCTGTGTCTATAAGTTTGTCTTAAAAGCCACAGCATTCATAAATATTCTTCAAGAGTACTTTATTTATATCACTTACTGCTTCTGAATGTTATTTGGATTAGCTGTATCCTCACCCATGCTCTTGTAAGAGACACAGACTCCGCAGTATTGATTATACTGCTTTTTAATGGTCTGTTTAAACTCCCATCAATAAACTGCAAGTTCCTCAACCATAGGAATCAACAGAGTGACTCGTACTCAGCAGGTGCTCAATAGATGTTTGTTGTTACTTTCCTCTTATATGAGAGAAAGTGTTAATTCTGGTAGAGAATGTTAACTTAGCAATGACAACTGTCTTCCCCTTTATGAATATAGAACTAGATTGTGCCCTGGTCAAAGGAATGTGAATGGAAATATCATATAACACTTCGAGGCCTGGCTTTACAATCTTCATAAAGTGGTCCATGCTTTCCCTCTTATGTCTGCATCTAGGTAAGCAAAGAACTCCCAGGTGGAAAACCCACACAAACGAAACAGCCTATATCCCTAAGTCACTGTTTAGAGAAAAGACATCCAGAAATATCTCTGACGAAGAATATCCACCGTGTACTTAGGTAAAGACAACTACTCCTTTCTTGTGCTAAGTCAATGAGATTTTAGGGATTTTTTTTTAACAGCACCTAATGCAACTTATCCTCGCAAATCCAATTTCACCTTAATTCTCCCTATATTAGATTGATCAACGGTGGGACTCATCTTTTTCTTTTTCTCTTTTGGTCTGCTAAGAGATGGAAAGTACTGAGTAAGGGTGAGAGTAGCCAATTCAGAGAAGGAATCCATGGTACAGTATGAAAGAAATGCATGATAACTTAGTAAATTCAGGAAAAATTTTAAAGGCCAGCCAGACCTTGAAGGGGAATCAGACCTTGGGTTGTGGGAGAAAGACTGACAGATAAAACAGGTGAAACTCTGAAATGGCTTATCTTATAATCAAGAGAGAAAAGTCAGAACAAAGTACTTGGCTCTTATCAAACAGAGCAAAGGGCTAGGTCAAGGCTATACTGCACAAATCTACTTCCAGTTGCCTTTGGCAGTCATTTGTTCATTTTATTGTCATGGTAATAATAAAGAATAATTACATGCAAACTAGGTCTATAATAATGACATCTAGTGTTCTAATTAGCTCTACCTTGGGAGACGGTTTAGGGAGGACTATCCAAGGGCTCTATGTGCTGTCATAGATATAAAAGGACAAACATGAACCTGTGTGCTTATTCTAGGTATTACAGACCTTTTGCTTCCTCCACTGACTCTGGTCATATAAATGTTGCCAATTATGGCATATTTCCTTTCTTCTCAAATTCTGGTTCTCAGAGGTGCCTGGGTGGCTCATTCGGTTAATCGTCTGACTTTGGCTCAAGTCATGATCTCACAGTTTAGGAGTTCAAGCCCTGCATCAGGCCCTGTGCTGATGGCTTGGAGTCTCGGGCCTGCTTTGGATTCTGTGTCTCCATCTCCCTCTGCCCCTGCCCCACTTGCGCTCACTATGTCTCTCTCAAAAATAAATAAACATTAAAAAAAATTAAAGTACTGGTTCTCAAAGCAAGTGGTACTGTATCCAAGAGGCATTTAAAACATTTGTGGGCATATTTTTGATTACCATAATGTTTAAGGAAGACACAACTGGCATTTAGAGGTGTAGGCCAAGAATACTAGACATCCTATAATCCAAAATATGAAATTTTGCCTTGTGTCCTGAATAATTTCAAATGTTCTATCAGAAAGTACCACAGTGAAAAACTTATTCATAATCGTCTGAGGCCTCTACTTCCCAGGAATACAATAGCCATGTTAAAGGAGAGCAATTTACTTTTTTGTTATTGGAAATTGCTCACTGTTTTAAAAAACCACATTACTAACAATATCATTCATAATATGAGTGTATATTTGAAGCTAATTACATTCAAAGATCTAACTGAAAAGTGCAACTATCTGAATTACTTCATTATTCTTTCCAGTGTAGTCATGACTGAGCATTTATATGCTGAAATACACATTTCCTTTTATTTCTAATTTATATTATAGTTAAGACATTATATTGACTTAGGGGATTATGTATTAGGCAGGATATAGTTTTTATAAACTTTAATTGGGGAAAATAAAGGAACAATATAAAATACTCTTTGTAGAGAAGGTTTATAAGCTTTGTAGTCTTTTTCTGTGAGGAAAGAGTCCAGTAGAAATAGCCAACAAATCCTCACATTTAGGAGTCAGTGAAATAGCTGGCATAGCCTTTCACCTTATGGTGAAAGTCACCAGTTTATGAAGCATGGACATAACAAAAAGCCTCCAAACTGGTTTCCAGTGCCTCATTCTTAAATAGGAACAAAGATCAACCAACACTATAGAAAACCTGTGCCATTCAAACTAAATAAAACAAATAACCATTTAGGGGTGCCTGGGTGGCTTAGTCGGTTAAGCGTCCGACTTTTGCTTAGGTCATGATCTTGAGGTTCGTGGGTTCGAGCCCCGCGTCGGGCTCTGTGCTGACTGCCAGCTCAGAGCCTGGAGCCTATTTCAGAGTCTGTATCTCCCTCTCTCTCTGACCCTCCCCTGCTCACGCTTTCTCTCTCTCTCTCTCCTAGAAATAAATAAAAATATTTAAAAAAAAAACCACACAAATATCCATTTAAAATAACACCCAAAAAGAAGGGATTTAGAAAAACAAAATGTAGCAGGAGGCAAAAAAAAAAAAAGAAAAGAAAAACTAAATAAAAAACAAAAAACATGATAATCTACAGAGTGAAAAAGACAAAACTGCACCCATGAAACAAGAACCCTGTTATAAGAAACACAAAACTTTTAGTATATGTGCTGCCAATGTGAGTACCACAAAACTTTTAGAAAAATATAAAAATTTTGAGCAAGAATATGATAAAAATCAATGGCATTGTTAAAGATTTTGTTTAAAAGTAGAACAGTTAGAAAAAGAGATGAAAAATCATACAGCAAAGAAAATGAGAGAATCAATTCTGGAGGTCCAACATCTAAGTAATAAAAAATTCTTTCTTTCAGAAAGAAAGAACACTTTTATTCAGTACTATCCTGGGGGGTTCCTACCTAAATCAGTAACACAAGAAAAAGAAATTAGGTGTAAGGGTTAGAAAGGAAGAGACTAAATTGCCTTTTTGTGCAGAAAATACAACCATCTGTGTTCAAAGAGGGAAAAAGAAAGAGATGGTGGGAAACCAGGTGAGGAAGGGAGAATGGGAGGAAGAGACTTTGGACTTTATCTATAGAGGGCAGAGTTCAGAACAGTAGCTGGAAAACAGGACACACATTTTCAGCTACTTAATGAATTAGAAAAGGAAGAGGAAAAATAACCACACTGCCTACACCCCATCCCCACCCGACACAAAATTATAAGATAGCAAGGAGTAAATCTTGTCATAAATATGCAAAATCTGGGATGCCTGGGTGGCTCAGTCGGTTAAGCGTCCCACTTCAGTTCAGGTCACGATCTCATAGTTCATGAGTTCAAGCCCTGCGTCAGGCTCTGTGCTGACAGCTTAGAGCCTGGAGCCTGCTTTGGATTCTGTGTCCCTCTCTCTCTGCCCCATTCACACTGTCTCTCTCTCTCAAAAATAAATAAACATTAAAAAATGTTTTTAAATGTACAAAATCTGTACATTTTTCATCAAAGGACACTTGAATTACAGGAGGTATGTTTATGTTCATGGATAAGAAACCTTAATGTTTTAACAATGTTTAGAAACCTTTCTTGCATTTGCTTTCTCAGACTAGCCTGGATGATAGAAAAGACACACAGCCCAGGGACTCCGCTGCTCCCTGACAGCCAGCTGTCCAAGCAGCAGAGCTCCCTAGCTAACTGAAAGCTGATATCAAAAGAGCTGCCCAGCGAACTGCTACCTGAATCACTGTCACAGAATCATGAAATGACACAAATGATTGTTAAGCCACTAAATTTTAGCGTGATTGGTTACACAGCAGAAGCTAACTGCTGTATAAGTCAAATTAGAAATCAAATGTGCAAGTAGAAAAAAAAGATGGGGTCAACCTCCCATTCACCCGTTCTCAGAAAGCAATTCCTAAAACGTTGTGAAGGGATGTACAGAACAATACATGTGCAGCATGTCAGCTGGTATTAAGGCAAAATGACCAAAAGCTCTGGAAGGGATGTATGTCTCCAAGGGAAAAGAAACAGAACTGAGAGGTTACCTGATGTGCTGGATTATAAAACATAGTTCTATGCTTCTGTTACAGTTTATATATAGACTATTGATAGATACACAGAAAACCAGCAAACAAAACAGGAGAAGAAAGTTGTATAAGGAATAGGATGAGATTAAACTAGGTAGCATCCATGTGACTATATATTCATAACGTCAACACTGACTACTAATTTAACTACAAAATGTGATTTACGGATGATGGGAGAAGAGAGAGTGTATGTGCGTGTATGTGGAGACAAAAGAGATCTCAGCTAAATTCTCATAATTTGTAACCTAAATATAAAATATTAAAAACACAGAAGCAGAAAATTTCATTTGTAAATGAGAAGATAAACCAGGTAGAAAGAGTTGAAAGTGGCTGACTCTATAAGTGGAAATAAGGGGTGAAGAGAGAGAAGGCAGATACTACTCTTCCTTATGAGTTTTGCATCACCATCTGACTTTTAACACCGTATTTTACTTAAAAATAAAAATTAAATTTAAAATACCATATCCTAACTTTTCCATAAGTTTAAGTATTTTCAAAATACAAAATTGAGAAGAAAGAAAAAAATGTGCCAACAAAAATCATGTACTTATATGGACACTTCGTCTGTCTCATCACTGGCATCACTGCCTGGAAAGAACCACAGGCCAGAAGAAAGTCAGAGCTCAGGGGGGCCCTGTGGAAGAGCCCGGGGCAATCAAGGGACTACAATTTACACTGCTTTCCCACCATAGCCCTGGGACATAAGCCTACCTATCAGGGTTGGACATGACTAAACAGATTACCATGGATGGCTGACTGGCTAAATTCATTTAATCTGAGGCTAATTTTCTTACTCTTACTTAGATAATTCCTCAGAATTAAAAATAGTGAAAGTGGGTAGTTAGAGCCATTCCAGATAAAGAATGAAGCAGGTTTTTGGCATGTTTGGTTGACTTTTGCCTTATTACCACTAAGCGGGATGGAAACAGAAGCTTGAATTTTTGGGATACACTTAAGAAGCACACTCCATTTGAGTATCAAACAATACTGCACACTTACAAAGTGGAAAGAATACTGCTGCATTGATATTGCCCTCATGTATACCTTATTTAGCACATACTGAAAATTCATCACCAAATCCCTTTCTACTTGCCTACTGTCTACACTGATGGAAGTGCTAAAAGCCTTTTTAGCCGCCTTCACAACAAGAAGACATGTGAGTCTAGTTCCGGACAGTGAACTGGAAGCTGTTTACTAGACGCTTCTGAGAAAATTTTTGCTTCAAAGGACACATAGCATCCCCATCCTTTCCTCTCATCTTCCTGCCTTGAACATGGATATGATGTTTCGGAACTAGGATAGCAATCTTGCAACGATGAGAAAAATGAAGAAAGAAATTCAATGATGCCAGCCCTGACATCAGTGGGCAGCTGAACTAATACTAACAGCACCAATCTTTGACACTCTTGTTACACATGAAAACTAAGTCCCCGATTTGCTCAGGCCATTATTGTCTCCGGTTACTTATAGCTGAAAATATTCCCAAGACAATTTATAAAAAGTTTTAAAGGTTTTTTGAAATGTTTCACATTTTAAACTGGTTTAATCCCATACTACTTTGTAAAAGACACAGTCAGTTATCTGAAAGCAAATCATCTTACCTCATTCTTCCATAGGTGATATCGCAGTGCAAATGCAGTAAAGTCTCTTGGAACACAGAAAAACTTGCATTCTGAAGTGGAGCCATGCGAAGTATTTTTGACTTGTTCAAAGTCTTTATTAATCAATTCCAGAATCAAAGGATCAATAAGGAACACTGGTACATTTTGGCTGGATGTTAGCATAATAAATTTTTTAACTGCACGCTGTTTGAGAGGAAAAGAATCCCCTTTATTTTTCTCAACCAATACAATCTACCTTATTAAAATTTTATTCATTAATTTTATAAGAATATATAGACGTTTACTCAATAGATACCATGCTTATTATTGTAGTAAACAAAAAAGCAAATAAGTAATACATGGTCCCTGCTCTCAAGATGTACACAATCGACTGAGGAACATGAACAAATACATACAATGCAAGGTAATAAAAATATATACAACATAGTATAAATTACAGAACAGTAAGCTACTAAGTAACTGTCCATCAAAAGAATAACAAAATCTTCATTAGAGGAAGTCATATCTGAGATGGAAACTTTGGGCTTACAAATTATTCCCTTGGTATTAGCTACATCTTTTTGAGTCAATGTGGGAGAGGAAATACCAGATCTGTCAGATTTTAAAACTCAGTCATGTCAACCTTTTCAAAATTCAAAATCAATCATATGTGCCACTTTTCTTCATATTTGTTATACTGTTTAATAATCCTTACAAGCAAAAGATTCAAACTAAGATATATTGTCTGCTTAACTATTCCCATATACAGTTTGATTTTCTAATAATATTGTAATATTTTAAAATATAATTCCGCTGGGCAAAAAGTAGAGTCCCTTACTGAAAAAATTAATTTCAAAATTACAATGAAAACACAATAATCACACTTAAGAGTAAGTAACACCAAGGGCAGCAAAGATCAATAGAATAACATCATTACTTAAAAGCATACTTTAATGGAAGTAACAATGATTTCAAAGGGATGTATGTCCATCAAAAAGGTGCCTCATAGAATTAAGGGTAAACTCTTATTCCCAAAATCTGAAGAAATATGTGAAAATAAGTAAATAAGGATATTAAGAATTTTAAAGATAGAAAAAATGAGATAAAGCTAGGAATAAGGCTCTTACCATTTGTTTTTAGGGCAGAGTATGCAAATACAAAAGACAAAAAAAAATTAAATATTCTGACTACAATAATCTTTCTCCAGAGTTTATTATCTCTTACGGGGAGATATAAGTAAAAAGCTAGTTAGAATAACAACTTTATGCCAAAAGATTCAGTAACTTAGATGAAATTAACAAATGTCTTAAAAACACAATTAACAATTAACAAATGATCACAAGATGAAACAGGAAATCTGAATTGCCCTATATCTTTGAACAAAATTGAATTTTTATATATGTTATGTATTTACATGTATTTGTTATATATTCATATGTGTATGTATATATTTATATAACATGCCAACAAAACAGTAGCATAAGCAAGTAAAAACTCCACACTCAGATGGTTCACAGGTGAATTCTATCAAAGATTTAAGGAATAATACCAATTTACAAAAACTCTTTCAGAAAACTAAGCAGAGAGGAATCCTTCCTAACTCACTGTATGAGGTCAGTGTAATCCTGATAACAACACCTGACAAAAACATTACAAAAAAATAAAATTATAGACCACCATCCTACATGAACATTGATGCAATTATACTTAATAACATACTAGAAAATTAATTCCAGTATTTAAAAAAAAAAAAAGTAAATATCCTGACCATGTAGAGTTTATCCTCAAAATGAAAGATTAGTTCAACATTTGAAAAATCAATCAATGCAATTCACCATATCATTGCAATAAAGGGGAAAACCCTATGAGAATTTCAATACAGAAAAAGTGCTTGACAAAATTCAACACCTATTTTAATCAATGATTAGATCTTGTCAGCAAACTAGGACTAGGATACTTTCTCAATTTGATAAAGAGTATGAACAAAAAAATCTGCTTTTGAGTTTAGGAGTTCTTTATTAATTCTTGATACCCATCTTGTGTCAGATACATGTTTTGCAATATTTCCTACTCTATGGCATTTCTATTCATTTTATTAATGGTGTCTTTTGAGGAGTAGAAGTCTTAAATTTTGATATTCTAATTTATCAATTTATTTTTCTTTTATGGTTGTTGCTTTCTGTGGTTTCTACCAGGAGAATAAAAGAAATGATTCTGGAAGAAAGATGATGAAACGACAGACAATGGCACACATAAGGTGTTTATTAAATGTTGAATAAATCTCATTCAGCTTAGTGTTAAATACAAACATATGAACATGTTAATGGCTTCATTACAATTATTGATATAAATATAGATTAGGGCAGGGTTTAGGAGAGATTCTATAATTCACCTTCTAAATATGCCTTCCAGGTTGTTATCAATGCAATCCTAAATGCTCCCTAGAAACAGACGTCCAACTGACTCTAAATCCAATTAATTTTAAATCAACATGACTATTATCATCTGGCCTTCAGTAATTCATTTTGTTCACAAGAAAGAAAAATGTCTTGTTGAAAACAGGGTACACTGAGACTATAATAGCCTGTTCATCCAGAAGAGCTTGGTGGGACCTGTTCTCAGTGAAAGGCTAGTTCCTAGTAATCATCATTTCATTTCCTAAGTGCTTTCAAGTCATCTGTTTAATAACTCATTCTAAAATTTCGTCAGGGCTCAGTATCACATTACTCATCAGGTTTTGCCTTTCCTTCCTTCTAAAATTCTAGAACAAAAGTATTTTAGTACTTCTCTCCTTCGATGTGATTCCTCAAATGTCTAAGACTGATTCTTAGTACCACGCAATGTAATTAACAAAGAAAACCCATTGGATGTAGAGAGCTGCTCTTTAATTTTTGCTCTCTTATCTTGAAAGTAAACCCATTTTTTTTTTAAGTTTATTCATTTATTTTGAGAGACAGAGAGCGTGAATGGGGAAGGAGCTGAGAGTGAGGGATAGAGAATCCCCACGGACGAGCCTGACGTGGGGCTCGATCACACAATCATGAGATCATGACCTGAGCCAAAATTAAGTGTGTGACTAGACACATAACCAACGAAGCCACCCAGGCACCCTGAAAGTAAACTCTTCAAAAAAAAGCCATCATTTTCTCCCACCTTAAGGATCCTTCCCTGAATGAAAAATTTGGAGCTTTCCGTTCCCCTCATACTATCCTAGGTTCACAGGGCAAAATATCTGCTATTTTTAATAAATTAAAAGTTCACCCTAATACTTTATAGTTGAGGAACCTGGTATAGGATATCTCTTACTTACTTGTTACACAGTAGTTCAAAACCAACTGGTGCCAGCAATGACCTAAAATTATCACCTTTATTGCTGCTTCATAATTTTGAAAACCCACTTCTATTTTTTTTTTTTATTAAATGGTTTATTGTCTAGTTGGTTTCCATATAATACCCAGTGCTTATCCCAACAAGTGCCCTCCTCCATGCTCATCACCCTCCTTCCACTCTTCCCCACCCCATCAGTCCTCAGTTTGTTCTCAGCATTCAAGAGTCTCTCATGGTGTGCCTCCCTCCCTCTCACTGAAAACCCACTTCTAATCTAAAGTTTCATGTCTCTGGTTAAAAAGAAGCCAAAGATTAGGGGTGCCTGGGTGATGTGGTTAAAGCGTCTGACCCTTGACCAGCTCAGGTCATGATCTCATAGTTTGTGGATTTGAGCCCCGTATTAGGCTCTGTGCTGACAGCACAGAGTCTGCTTGGGATTCTCTTTCTCCTTCTCTCTCTGCTCTTCCACCCACACCCCCCAACTCTCTCTCTCTCTTTCTCAAAAACAAATAAATAAACTTAAAATGTGGCAAGAAGAGAAATGCACAAATCTAAAAAAAAAAAAGAAAAAGGAGAGGCCAAAGACTGAAGTGCATCCACAAGAAATAACTGGTCATATCCAAAATGTACACTAATAGGATAAGTGTAATTTTTTATTAGTAACCAATAACCTAACATTGTTTTTTATTCTAAGTTTGGTTAGCAAAAAGGTAAGAAAACATATTTTGTAAATGTATACGCTCTGAAATTCATAAACCCAAACAGGAATATATTGTACATATTGCTAGTTTTCCTTACCTTGAAAAGGAAACATGTTGAGCAGATTTTTATTCCTAATCATTACTTTTCCTTATTCATAGTTCAATTCTGATTCACATATTTTTTTATTTGGGGATGTACCATAGTTCAGTGAATGAGTACTTTGAAGGCAAACAGTTAGAATCTGGACTCAGCCAGCCACTTATTAGCCAACTAATCTTAAACCCTCTAAGTGAACTGAGGCTAACAATATGTACTGACCTTATGAAACTTCCATAAAGACTCCATGAGATACTGCATGTAAAGCACTTGACACAGGGCCTACCTCTTCCCCTCCAACAACTATACCTACTGTCCACCAAGGTAGCTATTAATCATTGTTGACGTTTAACAAATATTTATTGAGTACATAAACAAATGACCTAAATGAACACTGTAAATGAGGAATTTCATACTTATCGTACATACCCACTGTGTGCTATCAAATCCGATTTGGCTTCCTTTAGATTTTGATACACCAGCTCCATTCTAAGAAGATAACAAAAAAATATTTTAATAAATTCAAAGCTATCTTTCTCTGTCTTATTTTACTTGGCATACAGAGAACAAACTGGTGGTTGCCAGGGAGGAGAGAGTGACGCGGATGGGCAAAATGAGTTAAAGGGAATAGGAGATATGGGATCCTAGCTATGGAATGGATAAGCCATGGGGATAAAACATACAGCATAGGGAATAAAGTCAATGGTATTGTAATACAGTTGTATGACAGACAGTAGCTACACTTTCGGTAAGCATAGCATAACTGTTGAATCACTATGTTGTATACTTGAAACTAATGTAACACTGTGCGTGAACTATACTCCAATAAAAAATAAAAATTAAAAGAAAAGTCAGGTCTAGAGAATCAGAAGGAAGAAAGCATTATCAGTTTTCATCTGATAAGCCCCAAAATACTCTGAAAGTAACAGGAAAAAAAGAATGTCTGATGGTCTACAGACAACGGGAGGAATGTTTCAAGCTCAAAGAAGATCCAAAGAAGTTTCTTATGCCTTGAATGCCTTCTTTATGTAGAAGACAGAGAGGGGAAGTTACTAAATAACAAGAAGAATAGCCCAACCCTAAAAATGAAATATGGCCCAAGTTTCTAAAAAGGATACTTGGAGCACCTTGGAAGCTCGGTGGGTTGAGTGTCTGACTTCTGTTCAGGTCACGATCTCATGATTTTTGAGTTTGATCCCTGCATCAGGCTTGATGCTGTCAGTGCAGAGATCACTTGGGATTCTCTGCCTCCCTCTCTCTCTTCCCCTCCCCTGTCTCAAAACAAAACAAAACAAAACAAAACAAAACAAAACCCAACTCATCACACTCAAAAAAATAAAATAAAAAAGAGACTCATCTCCTCACTAAACTGCAAACTCAAGGGCAGGAACCAAGTCCAATCCTTCTTTATATTGCCAGTGCCTATCACAGTGCTGGGTAATGAGTAAATGCTTAATTACAGTTTGCTAAATGGAGAGAAGGAAAGCGTAAAAAAGGAAGAGACATATGGAGCAATTAAGGTACAGCAAGAATTGGTCTCTCCTCATAAGCTCTGCAACTTAGACAGTAACATTTTAATAGCAAGGGATATTTGAGAACAAACTACAAAGAGACAGCTTTGTAATCTTCATCCTTGAAAAGAGACTGCAAACTCTGTAACATAGCCCTTGTTGCTCATTATAGCCCTCCATGAGTTTATTAGACTGAATTTCTGAGCTGTTTGTTTTCTCTGCTGCATCATTCCCATCAGTATATAAACATGATATAATTCCTATCTTAAAACAAATAATAACCCTCTTGACTCTTTTCCCAACTAACAATTTGCCCCCCTTAAGCAAAACCCCTAATGGGTTGTCTGTTCTTATTGCATCTGAATCCTCTTCTCTCGTAAGCTCTTGAGCTTAAATTCACTCTGCCAACTATTCATCAAGATCACCAATGACCTCCATGTTGCTAATCCAATGATTAATTATTACTCCTTGTCTTATTTGATCTCTCAAGAATTGTTGATCACTTCTGTCTCAAACACTTCAGATGTGTGGCTCTCAGAATCCCATACTTCTGGTTTTCCTGCTATTTCTCTCTGGCTGCTCCTTGTTCTCACTGGCTAGTTCTTCCACCTCCCTGATGTATGAGAGGCCCTCAAAACTCGGACCATGAGACTTTTCTCCCTCTTTTTATTCTACGTTCACTTTCTTCATACCTCATCTATTCTAATGGCTTTAACTACCATCTTTATGCTTACAACTCTCAATTTATATTCCCAACCATACCAGTCCTTTGAACTCTAAACATACATTCAATTATCTATTCACCTTCTTCATTTGGATGTCAAATAGTCATCTCAAACTTAACATGTATGGAAAAAGCTTCAGATCTTTAACTATCCAAACTTGCTTCTCATCTCAGTAAACAGCAACCTCCCCTTTCCAATTATCTAGGCCCCAAATATTAAAGTTATCTGTGACTCTTTTAGGTCTTTTATACCCCACATCTAGCCCATGAAAATCTGGTAGCTCTACTTTCTACCACTAGCTCCTTTGTCCAAGCAATCACTGTAAATGATGTAAATTATTAGAATAGTCTTCTAACTAGTCTGTTTTAGCCTTTGACCCTACAATCTATTCTCAACAGAGCATCCACGCTACTTTTTTTTTTTAAAAATCAAATCATGTCACATATCAGCTCAAAACTTTCCTATGGTTCCCTATCTCATTCAGAATAAAAGCCCAAGTCCTTACGGTTTACAAGGCCCTAAACAATATAAACTCTCTGACTTTACTTACTATTCTTTGTCTCTTTCACTCCTCTATAGCCATATTGACCTTTTCACTGTTCTTAATACTTCCAGGCATGTTCCTGTCTTGGGACTTCCTTTGGTCTCTAGGCAGTAAGCTCTTCTTCTACAGAACCACATAGCTCATTCTCTTCAAATAGGCTGTTTCCTCTATTTTTTTAAAGTAATTTTAAAAAGTTTATTTATTTTGAAAGAGACAGAGAGAGCATGAGCAGGGTAGGGGTGTAGAGAGAGAGACCCAAGCAGGCTCTGCACGGTCAGCACAGAGCCTGATGTAGGGATAGAAGTCATGAAACTGTGAGATCATGACCTCAGCCAAAATCAAAGGTCAGCTGTTTAACCAACTGAGTAACCCAGGCACCCCTGTCTTCTCTATTATAGTGGCTTTCCCATCCTTCTTCACCTGGAGAATTTACACTCATCTTACAAAACCAGCTCAAAATATCATTTCATTCATCAAATATTCAATAATAACCTTCTTAAGTAGGTTATTCAGTAGATTTTCATTTCCTACAAACTTTGCACTTACCTAAGCTCAAAGGGTCAAGGATAAGGACATAGGAGGATACAGTTTTATAGGGGCTGAAAATTATACAATTTTGGTGGTCCTTTTTAAGAAAAAGAATGCAAAAATATCTTTTGCAAACTTTACCAAAATATATAGCTTTGTAACATATTCCTAAAGCTCCTTCAAGGGCCTTGGAAGTGAGAGTGCTTATAGTTTAAGTTTCATTTATCTGGAGCACCCGGATGGTGTCACACTCTTGATTTTGGCTCAGGTCATGATCTCACCATTCATGAGAAGAAGCCCTGCATCATGCTCCATGCTTAGGATTCTCTCTCTGCCCATCACCCTCCTCTCATGTGCACATGCACTCTTTCTCTTTCTCAAAAAATAAAGAAAATATTTTTAAATAAATAAATAAATTTCATTTATCTAAATGGTTAATCTACCTCTGGGGAGGTATAGTTGCTGGTAACCAGTGGCTACAACTATAGCTATAAAGGAGGAATGCAGTCCCTATCAAGCAATGATCTTACAAATAAAGAACCAAGAGAATAAATAACCTGTGACCTCTCTTTTCTCCAGGTCTTCAATCTCCAGATGATGTTTCCCAATGGTTGACCTCAGCTAGAAAAGACAAGGGACCTCAGCTAATGCAGTCCATAGAGGTCAGCTACCTGAGATCCAGACTATTAAAGACAAGATCTGGAAGGGCAAATGGAGACTATCCATCATACCATGCTAAGAAATTTGGATCTTACCCCACAGGTATGCTGTACAGAGAATAACTTCATCAGATATTAAGAAAAATAACTGTATCAGCTATACAGGAGAGGATTACAAAGGCTAGAGACTAAAGAAGAGTTTTTAAACTATAACTGGTAAAGCAGGCAGAATAAGGCTCATGAGATGTGCTTTAAAGAAGTAGCATATTATACTGTCATTTGCTTATGTTTCTTAACTCCTCTCTTCTTCAACCCAAATATTCCCAGTTTGTGACTTCCTAGATAGCAAGCATTACACTTGAGTCATCGATTCGTCTCATAGCCTTGTATTGTGCTTGGACACACAGTAAGTACTCAACAAACACTTGACAAATACATGACTGAATGTTCTAAAAGAAATGCTATATCAAATCAAGAGGTTTGTTATTTTTAAAAAAAACCTTTTTAAAAGCCTAAAGATAGTCCTATAGAATAAAAAATTAAGTGAAATGAATAAATAAATGGAAAGATGAAATCAGATGTCAAAAAGCAGGGGTAGAAAAAGTCTGGTGGCTACTGAATGTTACTGATTATTGAGTCAAAAATAAGATATGCCATTAAAGAGAAAGTATTTGGGATATAGGAGGTGAAGATTTAAGGAAAAATCCTTTCATTTTTTGAAAGAATATCCAACAATCCATATCTTACAGAAACAAAAAACAATTCTTCTTTTTTTTTTTTTTTTAAGTTTATTCATTTTGAGAGAGACAGAGAGAGCGAGCAGGAGAGGGGCAGAGAGAGAGGGACAGAGAGAATCCTAAGCAGGCTCCACACTGTCAGCACAGAGCCCGATGCAGGACTCAAGCTCATGAAACATGGGACCATGACCTGAGCCGAAGTCAGACACTTAACCGACTGAGCCACTCAGGCACCCCAGAAAACAGAATTCTTAATCTAGCATGATCATTAATCATGCCCATAGAGAATCAAACAGTAATACTTAGAAAAAACGTTTAAGTCTTCAATAAATGATCTTTTTCAATTGTTTATAAATTTGTAATTCTAAGGATCAGAAACACTAACCTCGGTAAATTCATCAACCCTCCAGGCAGATTCCCCGTATGCATCTCAGGCCTTTCCTTATAGTAGATCCACTGCTCTCTTACTTACTCCCAAGTCACTGAAGTTCTCAGTGCACAGGACTCATAAACATGATCTGAGACGGTAGGAAAACTTTGCTTACTAATAAGCCAAACTTCTTGGCCAGAAAACTTATAAAGTGTAAAGTCTGGGAATAAAGCTAAGTGTTTTCTGAACATCCCTCAATTCTAATGGAAGAAATGCTTTCATATTCTCCTGAACAATGGCGGTAATGGGGGTGGGGGTGTGGAGGAAAGGATAAAAAGAGGAGAAGAAAAGCATTTATGAAAGTTTAACATACTAGATCAGATGATCAGATAGAATATTCTTCCTCCAGCAATGA